ATATATATATATATATATACATATATATATATATATATATATATATATGCAGAAACACCATTGAATTCTCAGTACTGTAATGACTTGGTGGTAGAACAAATTGCCCACCTTTTCATAGGCTTCAAGGCTGAACATTGCAGGTGGGTCACTGTGTATTAGGCTCTTTGTGAATGTTCCTCCCATATTAACAAAAGGTTGTTAAAAGAACAAGGAAAGCATCTTTAAACCTCGCCTCATGCTACACGTGGCTCTGCATCTCCTTATTCACCTAAAATGTGATAAAAGACGATAAACATTTTCCGCTGTAAACTCATCAATGTCAGAACGCCTGGGCTCAGTGCAACCTTGATGCAGGCATTGACAGTAATAGACTCTTCAGATAAATCCACTCTCACAGTCACACACCGCAAAAGGCAGAGGTGCAAAACAGCTCATTTTATACAAAGTGAACAATGACAGGCTGCAGGAACAGAGATCTGCAGCCTCTCAGTGATCATGTGTTTCAAAAATATCTTAAAATAACAATATAACAATATTCAAAATTAAGTTTTTTTTTTCTTCCCAGAGCACCGAAGCACACAAACGAAACAAATCAAGAGGAATAAAATAGATAGGAGGAAAATTTAATTTAATGCAGTTTTGTTTTTGCACTATTAAAAGTGCACATTTTTATGTTTTATATTATATTATAATCACTAAAAAAGGCCACTTAAATATCTAATCTTGGGAAACAAAGTTCAAAGATGTTGTAATTTTAAACCTGCATTACAGGTGTTCAAAGATGGTCAGAGAATACTGGGCATTTAAAAATATAAAATATGTATTCATCCTAGTGTCACTCACTGTAACATGATACAGAGCTAAGATGTCAACATCCTGCAGTCACATATGGAGCCGACAGCGAGGATAAGAAACCAATCCGTGCAACACAGCGGCTCTTAAAGCCTCTTAGTTTTAACTTAGAGGTTTGAGTGACAGTTTTATTTCTCCTGCTGGATTATCTTTACACAATAACACTAAAACCATAAAAGAGGCACCGCCCCAAGTGACCCGTGGCATTAATATTCCGCCGCCACGACATATCTCAAATCTCACCAAAGTCAGCACTCTGGACTCGTTAGCTTTGACCTAAGACCTCATCTTCTTAATTAAAAAAAAAAGACAAAGAGAGATGGTCTCTCAGGAGGATTTCACTCAGAGCTAAGATTTTCTAAGAAGGATTAACATCTGATGGCATATACAGCTTGTCTTAGAAAGAAAAAAAAATATTTAGGGCATCCACAAGATGGCCTATATATTAATCACAGTTCAACCAGGGATGTTGACACTTTAAATGAAGTAGATGGTATGAAGTCTAGGTGTTGGCTATAAACAATAATTACAGCTCTCCGTGGTTTGATTATCCTGTCATGATTGTCAGGCTCATCAACATAAGCCACACATGAGCTGACAGGTCAGAAAGCAAGAGAAATTTCTATGTAAAGAAATAAGGATTAAATAAATATCTAATGAAATCAAGTTGTTTCAGTTATCAAAAATACTCCTATTATTATTATTGTTGTTATTATCATTATTATTATTATTATACATAGATTGTATGTGACTTCAACCTCAGTCTTTAGAAGCATCCCGCAATGTTTCTGGCTGCAGTACCAGTTTTGGCCAGCAGGCAGTTGAAAGAATCCCATTACTTGTATATGAATATCTTTTCGAAACTAAATGAATAAATAATAATAACAATAATAATAGTAATAATAATAATTATTATTTTATCACACTAATTACCGTGTCAGTGCTCCACTACTCACCAGTATTTTGTATCGAACACGTGGGTTACACGTCTACGTGATTCTGATCCATAATCTAATGTAAAGATGTCGCCATCACATTTTGACACTTCTGCAGCCACATGCACAACATAAATATATATTTTTAAAAATCAGAATGTCACATAAATTTGACAATATATAGAAAAAACGGGGCAATACAGGGGCAATTGTTCTGAAACTTTAAGTCGATTTCTTCGCGTTTAAATTATTTTACGACATACTAATAATTTACATCCATTCATTTGAACGCTTAAACGGGGCACAACGCCGTACGCCGCACTCGGTGTTTTACTTTGAAAGTCAAAAACACCGGTGTCTTATTCAAGTTTGTCTCCTGAAAACACAGCAGTTTGTATTTGTTTACGGCGCACACCGCACGGGCGGCTACGGATTACCCGACTTTACGGACGATTGCCACATTAGGTGGGGAGTTACAAACCCATATATTGAAAGCAAACACCAGTGACCTCCACGGACACCTGTAACAACAGGCACAGAGCAGCTCCATCCCCGCAACCAATCACCTTCCTAGGCTGAGGAGCGGCCTTCTTCTACGTCATTTGAGCCCTGTCGCACGGCGATGACAAAATCAAGTCGCCATCGCCAATTTCCCCCAATTCACTTCTATATCAAATTAAATAAATAAACAAATAAAAATAAATGGTTTTTAAAAGCTATACATGGCAGACATGTCTATTAAAGGAGGCCATAATAAATAATAATGGTCATAGTAAATAATAATAATATTACGGTTTGTTTTTTTTGTTTTTTTTTACAGG